AGTGGTTAACTACAAACATCGTGGTGTGTAGCAGCATGCTGGAGTAGACCAGTACTTGTTATGGATTATCTTCTTGTAACTTTGTTTATTCATAATACACATTTTCAGTGTTTAACAGACCCAGATATATTTAACCTGCCTTATTTTTATAAGCCAGAAGTATGTAAACTTAAATTTCAAAAACCAAAGTTTCAGTAGTTTACCTTCTATATAAATTATAAACAAATGTTTATCGCTTTGCATGACTCTAAGGTTTCAGGTTATGAAGAACATTTGGGGAACTATTTTTAGGCAGATAATTATGAAACAATTATTGTTGCAAATAAATTCATAAAGCTTTTTTCCCCCACTTATATCAACTCAACACAGATAGTCTTAATTATTTTATGATTACTCATGAAAATTTCATAAGATACTGCATAAGCCTTGCCATGATCTTAACTATTAAATGTCTACTTCTAAAACATTCATGTTAGACAATCAATGCCAAAGAAAATGAATACTTGGAGCTTTTTGTTTTATTGTATTGCTTATAATAATGGCTATCAAAAATTCATTTTCTTAAGATATTTACAATCTTTTTTTCCCTGCATTTCTTTCTTTTTTGTTTAAATATGGTCGACTGAACTGTTATTCTTTTTTTTTTTCCAAGATTTATTTATTTTTATTGAAGAGTCAAATTTACATAGGTATGGAGAGATGGAAAGATCTCTGCCCACTTTTTCATGTTGCAAATGGCTGTAAGGGTCAGTGCTGAGCCAATTCAAAGCCAGGAGCTTCTTCCAGGTCTCCCAAACAGGTACGGGGTCCCAAGACTTTAGGCCATTCTCTGTTGCTTTCCCAGGCCACAAGCAGGGAACTGGATGGGAAATGGAGCAGCTGGAATACAAACTGGCTCCTACAAGGGATCCCGGTTCATGGAAGGGAAGGACTTTGGCCACTAGGCTACTGAGCCAGGCCTTCCTGCATTTCTGTTCTATTTAATAGCTGTAACATAATGACTAATTCATCATTGTATTGAGGCTTTTTCCCTCCATTCAGTTAACAATTCCACCAAAATAACACCCCATTTTAAAATTTTTCCTGATGCAGTTTGCCAAAGAGACTAATAGACTATTTACTAGTTATTTAGTAATAACTATTTAATAATTATTTTATTAATTATCTGTGACACCATGCAGGGCAAATGTTTTGCTCAACTATTTAAAAATCACTTACTGATAACTTCATATCTGGTTCATGTTCCTTCACCTACAATGACCATGCATTAACATTTACTCAGAAGATTTTATATAAGATGATCAGTAAACATTGACTTCCAAAAACATACGCTTTAGTTGGGAAAGCAGCAATATTATCTGAAGCATTTTATATAAAATAGGAATGTTAAAGTTTCAGGTTGCTAGATTTCTTTAAAAAAAAAATGGCTATTGGGCCTGTGCAGTGGCACAGCAAAATAATTCCTACCCCTGTCATGCTAGCATCCAATGAGCACTGGATTGTGTCCTGTCTTTGTGTCCTGTCTGCGCCACTTTGGTTCCAGTTTGCCCAGCTCATCATCTGGGAAAGCAGCAGAGGATGGCTCAAGTCAGTGCACCCACAAGGAAGACCCAGAAGAGACTTCCGTCTCCCTGCTTCAGATGAGCTCATCTCTGGCCATTGCAGCCATTTGCAGAGTAAACCAGTGCATGGAAGGTCATCTCTCTGTGTCTCTCCTTAAAATCTGCTTTTCAAAAAAGTCTATAAGGCAGAGAGACAGAGAGAGAAGTATCTTCCATCCAGTGATTCACTCTCCAAATGGGCCATCCAGGTCTCCAACATGGATGGCAGGGCCCCAACTACAGGAGCTGTCATCGGCTGCCTTCTCAGGTGCAACAGTGGGGAGCTGAGTGGGAGCAGAGCAGCTCCGGCCCAGGACTGGGAGTCAGCTGTGGGATGCTAGTGTCAAAGCAACAGTTTAACCCTCTGCTCTATAATGCCAGCTGACAAGATTTCTGGAAATGAGGGCTTGGCATGATAGCCTAGTGACAAATGTCCTTAACTTACATGGGCCAGTATCCTATATGGGTGCCAGTTCATGTCCTGGCTCCACTTTGCATCTAACTCCCTGTTAATGGCCTGGGAAAAAAACTAAAGGATGGCCCAAGGCCTTGGGACCCTGCACCTGTGTGGGAGATCTGGAAAAGGCTCCTGACTCCTGGCTTCAGATCAGCTCAGCACAGGCCATTGCAGCCACTTGGGAAGATCTGTCTCTCCTCTCTGTAAATCTTACTTTCCAGTGGAAATAAATAAATCTCTCAAACAAAAACAAAGATTTCCTGAAGTGGATAATTATGACCATAATCATATACCCACTTATAACAAACCAGATAATAAAGGGTAATATGTAAGGGCTCTATGGAAAAATGGACAGTAACATGTTCTTGGAAGCATTGGAGGTTCTTAGGAAAGTACTGTAACATTATCAATACAGATCAGTTATCTGTTTTCTAGAACTGCACATAAGTGGAATTTTGCAATATGTGTTCTTTTGCATAAAGGTTACATTCAGATTGTATGTAGTTTCTCCCTGTGATCACTGTGTGTCAGTGGTATTCTTCTTTTTATAACCAAGGAGTTGTTCCATTGCATAAATATATGTGCCTCAGTATTACCCGTCTACTTTTGATAGACACGCTGTCTCCAGCCAGTACTGCTCTATTAGAAATAAAGAGGCAAATAATTGCGAAGACGAATGTATCTTTAAAACTGTCACACCAAATATGGGTGGCAGTAAGGTAACAATAATAAAAAATGGAGAAGCATTTATAATAAAATAGTATTTAAGGTCAATCTGTACCCTACATAAAGTAAACAATAGCAGAGTTAACATATGTTACTATATTTGGAAAAAAACTTGAATTCATCTTTTTTTTTCAAGATTTATTTATTTTTATTGGAAAGTTAGATATACAGAGAGGAGGAGAAACAGTGAGGAAGATCTTCTGTCCGATGATTCACTCCCCAAGTGAGCGCAATGGCTGGTGCTGTGCCAATCCGAAGCCAGGAACTTCTTCCAGGTCTCCCACGAGGGTGCAGGATCCCAAGGCTTTTTTGGGCCATCCTCGACTGCTTTCCCAGGCCACAAGCAGGGAGCTGGATGGGAAGTAGAGCTGCCAGGATTAGAACCGGCACACGTATGGGATCCCGGTGCGTTCAAGGTGAGGACTTTAGCCACTAGGCCACAGCGCCAGACCCAAATTCATCTTTTGTAAACAAAAAATAATTCAGGCCCGTTATGGTGGTTCAGTAGCTAAATCCTCCCCCTTCAACTGCCAGGATACTACCAGTTTGTGTCCTGATTACTCTATTTCACTTTTAGCTCTCACTTTGTAGTCTGGGAAAGTAGTTGATAGCCCAAAACCTTGGGAACCTGCACCCAAATAGGAGACCCGGAAGAGCTCCTGGCTCCTGGCTTCAGATTGGCTCAGCTTCAGCCATTGGGGCCGGTTGAGAAGTGAATCAATGGACAGAAGATCCTCTTCTCTGTCCCTCCTCCTCTCTGTATATCTGACTTTCCAATAAAAATAAATAAATCTTTAAAAAAAAAAGAGCTAGAGTATATATTAGTGTTTCTGTAAATACTATACAATTAGCTTTTTAAAATTCATTTGTGATAGTTGAGCCAAATAGGAATAAGAAAAAAATGAAAGAATCTTAAACATGGACCTGGTGCAATGGCTCAATTGGCTAATCATCTCCTTGAAGGCACCAGCATCCAATTTGGGTGCTGGTCTTATTCCAGGCTGTTCTACTGTTGATCCAGTTCCCTGCTAATGGCCTGGGAAAGCAGTGGAGGATGGCCCATAGCCTTGGGACCCTGCACCTGTCGGGGGGGCGGGTACACAGAGGAATTTGCTGGCTTCCATTCAGGTCAGATGTAGTTGTAGCAGCCATTTGGGGACTGAACCAGTGGATGGAAATCTCTCTCTGCTTCTTCTTTTCTCTGTAAATTGCTTTCCAGTAAAAATAAATGTTTAAAAAAAACCCTTACAACATTAGGAGATAAATATACAGATTTTAATCTGCCTAAATTTTCTTAGGCTTTTGCTTACTGTTTACACTGTTGAAATCGGCTTGTCTTTTTATCTCTACCTTCTTACTTCTACAAATGATCCCCTGATTCATTATTCTCTGTCTTCATTTATCCTTGTGATTATTATCATTTTTTGTTGTTGTTTATTAAATGCAACAGGTCAAAAATTTGAGTGTTCTTTGCACAACAGCAGGACAGATTGTTCCACCGTGGGTTGTTGGTGTAAACATCCAATTTAGAGCATGTATATGGAAATTTACAGTGCTGTTAATTTTATTTTTTCTAGAAAAAGATGGGAAAGCTGAAGATGTTTTAGTGAAGTTCAGAGAATACCGAGACAAACTGTCTAGATCGGTGATACTCATCAACCACAAAAGAATTAAGGAGAAAAATATTTGTGAGAAAATACTTACTGCAGGCAAAACCCATATTATTTCCAAAACACTTTGTGAATGTCTATCTGATAGAAAAGTTCTTAAAAATAATTCAGGATTAACTATTCGAAACATAAACCCAATCAGAGAGAAATCTGATGAGAGTAATGGATGGGAGAAATCACTCCTGAGTGGTAAACATGAGAACATGACAGCTGTGGTGAGTCAGCACAGACAGACAGGAAGGGACCACAGTGGTCAGCCAGAGCCTGTTCCCCAGCAGAAGGTTCCAACTCTAGAGCCACAGTTTAAACATAATGAGTGCGAAAAACCCTTCCTCGTGAAAGAAATGCTACTTACACATACTAGAGTTCACAGAGGAGAAAGAACCTTTGAATACAATAAAGATGGAATTGCCTTCCTAGAAAAGCCAAATCTCGGCATCCATCCACATAACATTATGGAAAAGAAACCTTCTGCATATAACAAATATGGGAAATTCTTCTGCAGAAAACCTATTTGTATTATGCATCAAAGATCTCAAACAGAAGAGAAGCCTTTTCAATGTCCTTACTGTGGGAATAGCTTTAGAAGGAAATCATACCTCATAGAACATCAGCGAATTCACACAGGTGAGAAACCTTATGTTTGCAATCAGTGCGGAAAGGCCTTCCGTCAGAAGACTGCTCTCACTCTTCATGAAAAAACACATATAGAGGGGAAACCATATGTCTGTATTGACTGTGGAAAGTCCTTCAGACAGAAGGCAACCCTCACTAGACATCACAAAACACACACAGGGGAGAAGGCCTATGAATGTACTCAGTGTGGAAGTGCCTTTAGAAAGAAGTCATACCTCATTGACCATCAGAGAACTCACACAGGGGAGAAACCCTATCAGTGTAACGAGTGTGGGAAGGCATTTATCCAGAAGACAACCCTCACTGTGCATCAGAGAACTCACACAGGAGAGAAACCCTATATTTGTAATGTATGTGGGAAGTCCTTCTGCCAAAAGACAACACTCACTCTCCATCAAAGAATTCACACAGGGGAAAAACCTTACATATGTAACGAATGTGGGAAGTCCTTCCGCCAGAAGGCAATTCTCACTGTTCATCACAGAATACACACAGGAGAGAAATCCAATGGATGTCCACAATGTGGGAAAGCCTTTAGTAGGAAATCAAACCTTATCCGCCATCAGAAGACTCACACAGGAGAGAAACCATATGAATGTAAAGAATGTGGAAAGTTCTTCAGCTGTAAGTCAAACCTCATTGTCCACCAGAAAACACACAAAGTAGAAGCCATGGGAATTCAGTAAGTGATGTGATTTTGGGGGGAGAAAATGTTTTTAAGAATTAACCTTGTACCAGATGTTGTGTGCAAGTGTAATAGTATTCAACAGTTTAAGGTGTTACCTATTGTTTGCTACCCAATAAATACAGACACACACCACAGAAAAAGGACAAAGTCATGAACATGAAACCCCTAACTTTAATATTAAATTCAGCAAATTTCCTGGGTCAAATTGCTAGACTTAAAAATTGCTTTCCACTTCAATATGTATGTGTGCCAGTAATTGGCCAACTGGCACTTGGTCCTGCATCACACTGTGACTAGAAGTGCTTTCAAGGAATATGTTAACTGTATTTCTTATTGCAAATATGGAAAAAATTTGGTTGTCAACTCCTCAGAATTAACCAATTCTGACTTCTAACATTAACTTTTAAATATGATAAATCTTAAGATGAATTATGTGTCATGTATTCATTGATATGACTTATTTCATTTCTCATTATTTCCCTAATCATCAGTGCATGTGGTCAGTGTTCATTTATTTTCAATCTGTCTAGAATGCCATTATTTGAATGTGTCTCAATCTATCCACTCAGCTGCTACTGGACTTCTTGCATTGTTTACGGCTTAGGATCATGATAAACACTGGTTCTGAGAACATATTTGTCTTTGGGTGTACATGTAGCTACTTCTCTTGTTTATGGCTAGGGAGTGGAGCTGCTGTATCTAAATGCAGATGTGTGTTCAGTCAGCTTTGGTGGAGGTGGCAGAAAACCCAGAGCTTTCACCAGCATGAGATAATTTAGTCTATAGAGGAACAACTATGAATATTATCAGTATTTGCTCAAACCAGCAAACTCATGCAAGAGGAGAGCTCTATCATTGGTACTCTGAAAACTGGAGTTATGAATACAATACACTTATGAAGAGCTTCTAACTATAGCCCAAGCATTTTTGTAAAGTTCTGAAATTTGATCCTGATGATCATGCAAATATTTTTTTAAGATTTTTTTTTATTAGAAAGATTTAGAGAGAAGGAGAGACAAAGATCTCCCATCTCCTGGTTCACTTCCCAAGTGGCCACACAACAATCGGAGCTGAGCTGATCTGAAGCCAGAAACAGGTCCATCATGCGGGTGAAGGGTCCCAAGGCTTTGGGCCGTCCTTGACTGCTCTCCAAGGCCACAAGCAGGGAGCTGGATGGGAAGTGCAGCAGCTGGGATATGAACTGGCGTCGATATGGGATCCTGGCATGTGCAAAGCAAGGACTTTAGCCACAAGGCTGCCACACCAGGCCCAACCCCAATATTTTTTAAGATTTATTTTTCTCACAGCAAATCTTCATATATTATCACAAATATAATAAATATGTGGTTGCCTTTTCCCACAGTTAATATCTTTTTTAAAATCAGAAAGTGACACAAAGAGGCAGCCATTTGGCCTAGTGATTAAGAAAAAAGCACTAATAGATCAGGGTTTATATATGACATGTAATCACCCAAACCTGTATATGACCCAGATGTTCTTCAGCGCTTAAATGGATATGTTGTGAAACATCCAAACAATGGGAAACTAGTAAACAAGAATGAAATTATGAACTTATACATGCAACAACATGGATAAACTTTAAATGAGTTATGCTAAAGCAACCCAATAAAAAAATTACATGTTAAATGATGCAGATAGGACATCCTCAAAAGGGCAAAAAATTCAAGAACATATCAGTTGTTGCCTAGTGTGTGGAAGGGTGGGGAGCTTTGATTACACAGTGCATGAGGAAATTCTTTGAGGTATTGAAATCATTTTGTATCCTGCGTGTGGTCACAGATACAAGAATCTATGCATGTGTAAAACTAGAAGTATATATACAAAGTAAACTGTAATGCTTGTAAACTTTTAAAAGATAAATAAAAACTCTAGGTTTGTTTTGATCACCATTATCAGCAAGACCTCCTGATTTATGCCCTTTGAAAATGTCTTTGGATTCACTTCCGAATTATATGTGCAGTAGCTCCTCCCCTCCTGCCCCCAATGAGCCCTATTAGCCATGATCACATGGAGTAATTACTTGTTCCTCAATTCGCCTCAACCTCAACACCAGTAACACATTACACTTCACTCAGATTTGTATCTTCCAAATGATGAGCACCCACTGCAGCATGGGCCTTCACAACTGGCTTGGAGAGCACATTCATGCCAGACACTGGCGTTAACTTGCTTTTTTAAAAGTTTTTTTTATTCAAAAGGAAGAGTTACAGAGAGGGAGAGAGGGGCAGAAAGATCTTCCATTTGCTGATTCACTCCACAGATGGGCCAGGCCTGGAATTTCCATGTAGGCTTCCCACATGTGTGGCAGCCATCGTCTGCTGATTTCCGGGATGCCTTAGCAGGGAGATGAATTGGAAGTGAAGCAGCTGGGACTTGAACCAGTGCTCGTGTCAGACGCTGTCTTTGCAGATGACAGCAAAACTTGCACCGTGACATTCGCCTTGTTAATTTGCCTTTATCTCTCGATTCTCAAACAGCATTCTTAATGCAACACAGTGGTATAAGAAGACCTCTAAGTGTGTGCATATTGCATTCTAGAGGATAGCACTCCTTCCTCCTAAATATGTTCTTTGAGGGTTCATGCTGGCTGTACTTTCAGAAGGCTATTCCAGTCCTTTACATAGGAAATCTCATGTGCTAACATCCATTCATCTCATTGTCACTGGCCAATTTCTGCACTTGTATTTTTGTTTTTATTTTCTGGCTGCCAAGTAAAATGCTATGTCCTGTAAGATATCATATACTTGTTATTGGCATCCTGTAAGTAACCAGACATATGGTGCTTGCTGAGAACTTGTGAGCAGAAAAGGCAAACCCATTCACAGAATAGCTGTCCCCTCCTAAAGAAAACACTTAAAAAACAGAACAGGTCCAATCTGTTCAACTCAACTGACAATATGTGACTAACTAGTATTCTCAAAAATCAGTGTCCACGGAAGCTCTGGTTACTCCTGCTGGAAGGTGGCACATTCAGAACCACTGGGAGCGACACCACCTTGGTGAGTCTGTGATAGTAACACCATTCATACTCTTCATCTTTGCAGCTGTAATCAATTTATGTGCCTGTGATGCCTGCACAAGAAGACAGATGATGAAGGCTTGTTAATAACCTAAGTATTTACATACTTATATTCTGAATAATCCTCATGGTTGGTACTGTTTAAGACATTAGGGCCCTAGGCAGTAACTCAGTGGCTAAAGTCCTCGCCTTGCATGCACTAGGAACTCATATGGGTGCCATGTTGGAATCCCAGGCTGCTCCACTTTCCATCCAGCTCCCTGCTGGTGGCCTGGGAAAGCATCAGAGGACGGCCCAAAGCTCTGGGACCCTTCACCTGAGTAGGAGACCTGGAAGAGGCTCTAGGCTCCTGGTTTTGGATCGGCCCTTTTCCAGCCACTGCAATTGCTTGAGGAATGAATCATCAGATGGAAGACCTTCCTTTCTATCTCTCCTCCTCTTTGTATGTCTGACTTTGCAATAAAAATAAATCTTAAAAAAAGATATTAGTGAGATAGGGTTCAGACAGTGTCTCAGTGGCTAAATCCTCACCTTGAATGCAGAAAGATCTTGTATGGCACCAATTTGTATCCTGGCTGCCCCACTTCCCGTCTAGCTCCCTACTTATGGCCCCTAACCTTGGAAACCTGCACTCGCATGGGAGGCCTGGAGGGGGTTCCTGGCTCCCGGCTTTGGATCAGCTCAGATTCAGTCGTTGCAGTTACTTGGGACTGAACCAGTGGATGGAAAATCTCTCTCTTTTTCCTCTGTAAATCTGCCTTTCCAATAAAAATAAATCCTTTAAAAAATTAATGAGACAGAAAGGTAAGACATGCTTATTTCTCACACATCCATCCATGTGCTCTTACTGTATAAGTTATCTGTCATTCTAACAGTTTTATTCTTTCAGTTTGACTACGCTGTGGTTCCTAGGTATGTAAAATCTGGTATTCTGGGTTCCGGTGTAGTAGCTTAGTGGCAAGTCCTTGCCTTGCATGCACCAGATCCCATATGGGCACCAGTTCTAATCCTGGTGGCCCCACTTCCCATTCAGCTTCCTGCTTATAGCCTGGGAAAGCAGTAGAGAATGGTCCAAAGACTTGGGACCCTGCACCTGTGCAGGAGACCTGGGAGAGGATCCTGGTTTTGGATGAGCTCAGCTCTGACTGTTGCAGCGGTTTGGGAAATGACTCGATGGAAGAGCTTCCTGTCTGTCTCTCCTCCTTTATATATATCTGACTTTACAATAAAATTTATCTTAAAAAAAAACAATGGTATTCTGCAGATAAGAATGAAACCCATAAAAATCATTTTCTGGTCCCACTGTGGTAGTATAGTGGCTAAATCCCTACCTTGCATCTACCAGGATCCCATGTGGGTGCCAGTTGGTATCCTGACAGCTCCACTTCCTATTCAGCACCCCTGCTTGTGGCCTGGGAAAACAGTAGAGGATGGTCCAAAGCCTTGGGACCCTGCACCCACGTGGGAGACCCAAAAGAAGCTCCTGGATCCTGGCCAGTTCCAGCTGTTGTGGCCATTTGGGTAGTGAACCAACAGATGGAAGATCTTTCTGTCTCTCCATAATCTTCCCTTCCAATAAAAGGGAATCAATCTTAAAAAAAAAAAAAAGAAGGGAGAAAGAGAGAAAGAGTAGCCCAGTATTCCTTGAAATTAGGAAACAGTTGCTACAAGAGGTCAGGCCTGTGAGCGCGGAGCCAAGATAGTCAGTGAACTTCCTCCAGAGAGAAATCAGTCTGGATGCACCTGAATATCAAGATAATCTCATATCAATAATCTGGATACACCCATATATCAATAATCTCCTTTATTCATAGTCCATTGATTTACATATTATTCAAAAATATTTTCAGAAAACATTTAGAATAGCACTTGACGAAACATGCCCATTGTGGTTTA